ACGATGTATGAATAGCACGTCAAACAACGTCTTGACAAATATAAACCGATTTTATGATATGAATATAATAAAACTAAAACTATTACATTACCCAATAACTCAGTGGTTGATTGTAATAAAAAATTTTCTGCAAAGCCAATGCCAGATATCGCTTTACAAATTTATTTTTTTTTTTTTCTTGTGTTATTAGAATATGAGATTTATGCCTTTTTTGATTTTTGCTCAACAAACACAAGTCTCCTCCTAAAATATCTTAAAATTTTCTATATGTTGATCATCAGACACTTAAAATTTTTAATGTAGTTAATTTGTTTGAAAAGGTTGGCCACCCATGCAACAACGTTTATATTATTATGACACGCTATGTTCGTGCCCGACTTGTTTTGCTCTGGCATACTTCCGACCCGAAACGAGATCAAAGGCTAGTGGGCCATTGGCGTTTGATAATATTACAGTTCTGTGGACGTCGTTCTGTTTGAACAACGTACACAGCGCGATCGCGGAAACAACGAATATATGCACTGCGAATGACTGGTATTCTATTCCGGTGTATGGTCTACCATATAATACGAGCAATCGGAAATAAAAACATTATTGCTATAATATCGCTTCCTGACTGTTGCACGCGGAGACAGACTCATATATAACATACCTAATTACATTACAATCCAAAATGTAAGGGCGCTCTCAAGGGATTCATGAAGGGGTTTAAATAATATAAAACGCAACGTGGAAATATATAATGTTACAATAATAATATTATTCATTCGGATTTGTAATTAGTGTTGTCTTGATCTTGTTATTGATTTTGATTGTTGTGTGAGATGTGAATCCGAGATCAGTCCCACGTGATATGTAAGGAATTCGTAATGAATATTTTTACATATAATATTCAACAGGTTTTTTACTGCATATTACCGTGTAAACGTTTAGTTATACTTTTTAGTACTTCGAAGTTCCGGGCCCTGATAATGTCGCATATTATCACATAAAAGCATATATTATAATAATATACTATGATGTTACTGTATTAAAATACATGACTGTTCCACATGGATTACGACGAATTTGAAAGCTTTTTATTTGTTTTTTTATTTAAGTTCAGAAAAGATATTTTTATTACATTAATTTTTAAATTATAAAACAATAGTATACAACAATTTATACGGAATAATATTTAATACTATAGATTCTATGCGATTATGATTAACAAGTTTCAAGTTAATTGAGTGTTTCAATTTAAAACAAATATATAATATAATAATAACTCCATGTCTTACGAATCTTAGGTTATTGGTTTAAATAAAAAGTGCTCCGAGTAAAGATCTACAAATATGTATATAATTTGTGAAAATGTGTTTTTAGTGTTTTTAATAAGGAATTCAATTTAAATTTAATCAGAACTGAAATTCTTATTATCGTGACCCATGGGCTATTCTTTACTCACTTAATCTGTAAAACGTAATTGAAGAACTCTACGATTTGATTTATACTATCAATATTAGGTATTTTAAATTCCAAAAGAACCTACAAAAATCAACGTTTAGACGATTTAAAAAATGTACAAGGGTTCAAAAATATTCATAATCTCAATATAAATGAGATTTAATATTTAACTACTTAATATTGTAAGCACAGTAGTAGTTTCTAATCAGACGTAGATTATTTTTTCATTCCTAAAAGAGATCAATAATGTTTAATATAATGTATAATATTTACACGATCAATTGTTAGTCATAATACATGTCACGAAACGCAAACAAAATAATGCAGGAATACTCTAATAATCGCAGATGGCAAAATCAGTAAAAATTAATGTAATACAATATCGAAAATATTACAAATGGAACAGATATTTTTAAAGAATAATTATTTCTTTTTCTAAGTTTAAATGTATGCAGCACCTCAATATTATTTTTAACGGTTTAATTATATAGCAGTACTACTTTTACGGCACATAATATGCGTTTTATATATTCGTTAAAGTCGTCATTAGGTACTGAAGACCCACGTAATTTATCTAATCGTTAGTATAATATTCATAGTTCATTTGGAATGCTATCTGATTAGGAAGAATTATGGAAAAAATAGATCAAATATTTAACACGTTCTAAAATAATTATCATCGATTTTAATATGTTTTAGAAACAATCAATGAACGCATAAATATTTAAGTTGTATATATAAACATCAATATTGAACGGTGCAACTGTTACGTACAAATACTACGTAGTAAATGAAATAGGTATTTATTATAGTAAAGGTATGTAATAAATAATAATTTACAGTTTTTATACTCGGGTTAACGATTTTGTTTATTTGATGAACCGATCACTTAAATGTTATATATCTATTATAAATTCTCGTAAATACACGTTTTTCAGTTATTTTTTTATAATAGTTGTGGATTTAAGTTATACTTAAATTTAATCTTAACCAATCAACGGGTATTTTATTTATCGAATACATAAACTGGGTTCTGGATCTGAATTTCTTCCTGGTAAAGTGTTCTCGTTTAATTCAAAACCAATTAGTCTAATATATTTGACAATCGAATTGCTTTGTAACTACCATATTAATTAGCTTTATTCGTAGTAGTGTACCATTAGTATAATATTTATCCTCGTTATGGTAAAGTCATATTGTTTCTTGAAACCAAAACATAATATCGATAGAAATATTATTATTAATCAATAACTTGCCACGTACATATTCTAATTGTATTGTGGGCGATTGTAAATTTACAGATAGTCGATTTAAGGGTATGATTTGTAACATGTAAATTCCACAGATATTAAGCCACCGTTTCTAAATATGCAGATTATTTATTAAAAATTTACATTTCAGAAGAAGCATTATTTTCACCACAAATATGGGCATAATATAGTACTGAATTAAATCAAACAATTAATGCATGCATTTATCACAGTTTTTAAAAGCAATCGTTAAAATATACACTTTTGAGACAGTTCTACTTGAAATTCAAACTTTTACATAGCTACATAAAATTTACCAGTGCTAAAGAACCTTAAAGTTTGAGAAATTCCGCATTAAAAACACGTTAAAAGTTGTTAAGCAGCCTAATTTCATTGTTTAAAGAAAAAAAAATATTACCATTACGCAATTTGTCCAAGCGGCATCTCATCACTTAAACTCAAAATTTTAATTAAATTATTTCAAAATTAAATTTTTCATTTATTTAAGATTGCTATTGATCATTATAATTTATTTCAAAGAAAAACGACATTAAAATAAAGATTTTTGATTTTTGAATTGATCAGTGAAGTTTCTTTTTTTTCTTAGATGAAAAAACTTACCAGTGGAATTTTCACGAAAAAATATCAAAAACGGTTGTAATCGGTAGAATTTACGTGCAGGTGACTCGTTTTGTTGTGCCAAACACTGCATTTTTGCAGTCATTGTAGACTTAAGTAAATTCTGTACACGTTTCATGGGAATATTCGGCTCTTCTATTGATGTGTAATTGATATGTAAATCTATTAGTCAATAACACAAATACGTGCAAGTGCTTAAACACAGATACATGCACGTATACACATGGTTCGTTGAGAAAATCAAACATTAATTATTTCGGTAAACTACACGTCTTGACAAACGAGGAAGTTATTTAGTGTCGACTCTACGTGACCGTAGGCATGGACAAGAACTTTGAATTTCAGAGGATGTTTACAATACTTTTGGGCCCTAACGTTCAGGTATATTTAATAAACTATAATGAATAAACAATTAAATAAACATAACTTTTTATTTTATATTGTGATACTTGTATTAGTTCCAATGAATATATTTTTCTTGAATCTAGTGTATTTTTTCCCGATAGTTTTGATTATTTATGATTTGTAATTTTTTAGTCAATTATAACTGTTAAATTATCATAAACATTTTTTGTACGACAATTTAGAAAATTTAGTTTAATTTTTTCTAATACAAAACATAGTTTATATTTACCTAATATTTTAAAATTATTTACACGAGCAAAATCAGTTAGGTAAAACATTGGCCCTTTACTCTTATACCGTAGGATACAAAAGTTTACAACATTTCGAAGGCTGCCCGTGACAACGTGCGCGACATCCACACGAGAACATGGTCTTGTATAGCGAAATTTTCGTTTTCACTAAGATCTTGCGCATATAATCACAATAAAAACGTACTACTACAAAACTACTTCTACCATTACTATTATTGCTCCTGCCCAGATCCGACGAGTGATTGGGGGGGAGGGGAAGCTGAGGCTGTAGACCAGGAGCTCGGGCTTCAAAAAAATCCCGGGGCCTAACCAAGTTCACTACGTCTCGGTCATTGTGTCGAGCTATTTATGGATGACCAACATGAATCGTGCTAATAACCTACCCAAATAATTATAGCGTAAGCTGTATGGTTATAACGAGTCTAGAACAAAGTGAACGCTACAACATTGATCTAAAACGTAGACAAATAACGTTTTCAAGAATGACCCTTAGGCTACAAATAATTATTTTCATTTATCCGTGTAACGACCATGACTGCGATTACATGGTGTCTCTTTGGTATACACATTTTAAAAGAAGACGCTGGATGTCGGTGGCGAGTTTAATACGTCGCGTGAGAAGGGCAAGGAGAATTCGTCCCCGGGGCCCTTGATTTCTCTCCACGTCCCTGGCCCTACCACTACTACTAATACTTCTGCCGGTGCCGCTTTTTGCTACGTTTCTGGTAGTACGATTACCACAGCTGTGCGGTCGGATAGTGTACGCACGCACGCACGTGGGGGCGTTGGGATGTAAACGTGTGACGACAGCGTCGGAGGTGACGCGTTGTACTATAAATACGATTCGGTTCACACGCGCGCACGATTGGTATTACATATAATGCACGCGGTGTCTGCGCGTATGTAAAACTCGGCGGCGCGCGTTGTAACCGGTGCGGTGGTCGCACCGGGTGGGACGCGGTGGACGCGCGCGTGTCTGTGTGTGCGTGCGTCTTATCAACGACGTGCGGCGAGCACGAGGCGCTGTACCGACCGGCCGTTCAGTGATCGACAGGAACGTGCACATCACGTACGCGATCGACGGCACTGCTACGCACGCCGCGTCCAAAAGGGACACGTATACGGTTCGTCGTCGTTCTCCTTCCGGTCCACCAGTTCTGTACGTCCTGCAGTTCTCTACGTTCCCGAGGCTCCACCGTCCGGTTGACTCCTGCACCACCGGTTCGTGCGCCGAGATCGCGACCGTACCCTGCGCAGACGGGTGTTGTCCGCGAAACGCAGCTCCCAACCGGCGCACCCGGAAACAACGGGATGACGCGGACCCACGAACGGCCGTGACCGGGCGAAACCTCCGCTACCTTTCATCCCCCACCCCGCGACGACGCCGTTCGCGTGACATATCGCACCGACCGTGAAAGTGCGTCCGACCATCCGCTGCTACCGCGACACAGGACGTCCTCGTCACCGAAACATGCGCCACCGAACCAGCACCACGGTCGCTCGACTTGTGGCCGCTGCCGCGTGCTGCGTACTGGCCGCGGCTTTGCTGACGGCCGCACAACCACCGGCCATCAACAGCGCCGACCCTAGCACCGATTCCGCGGCTCGCCAGACGCCCGTCGGAGGGTAAGAGACACATGGAAACCTGCACCACCGTCGTCCTTGTTGTTTATCATTTTTCAGCGGCACTCCCAACTGCACGTATCGGGGGTGATCGGGATTTCGTTAGACGTTTACGACAGCTCTCGTCCAATGGGGTTTAAAAATGTTTTCCGTTAAAATCCTCCCTAAACGAGCAACTAAAGGAGCGTTTAAACATCGCGGATGATCTCGATTGTACTTTTGTATAAAACTTCACTTGCGTTCATTTTTTTTTTTAAATTTTGCATTTTTTTTTATTTATCGCTGTTGTCACATAGACTCTATTTTTTACACGTTTATCTTCAACTCGAATGATATCACGGTGTTTTCCCGGTCCCTAGCTTACACGTAGTATTTTGTACCTGTTATTTCCCGAAATAAAACGAAACCACGTAGTTCGTTTACGTTCCTGATTAGATAAGGGTCGTTTCCGATGTGATTCTAAGATTGTCCTTGTACCGGATGATGTGCTCGGAAAATCGTAATCGCCATCGGTTCTAGAGTTACTAATGTCGCAAGACAGCTCTGGAAGCAAAACGTCACGTTAGTGCGTTGCGATGACAGCAAATCCCGCGGTTATATCCATAGATAATAATCTTCATTTCTACGTAGACCACAATTGTCCAATAAGACCTTGTAGAGTTTTTTGGAATGTTTTAGATTTTTTTTTTTGCAAACTCATAAAGCGCATACACTTTCGGTTGCGCATTTCTTTGAAGTTATCCTGTCGGAAATTCGAAAGATCTGATTGAAAAAATATGACAAATGTGGACAGGATAAAAATGTCCTCGAACGGGAAAAACGACATGATATTTACGCAATTGTTCGATTGAGGTTGGTATTTGGTTTTTGTATCCTTCCATTTTTTTCCATCCTTCCCACGTCAAATTTCATTATGACACTGGATCGAGAACTGGATGTCCCGTGAGTCGTGCATTTTTGTCGTCGGACATGCGCTTCCGATATTTTACTCTTTGTTTTGACGTCTATCGCGTGTCGTTTCATTCTCGACAAAAGATTTACAACAACACTTCAATTTTACCCATGATCCGCACTAAGCTTGCGTAGGTACTCTTATTCCGACGGCGTAAGATCAAATTAAAGCGGTTATAACATTTTAGCGAAACAAACTCATATAACACGGTTATACGAGTACGTTTTATGCACCAATAATATATAATCCTACTTACATATCATGTAACCGTGTACCTGTACACAGTAATAAACACGAATGTCATCTATGTACTTGATTTTTGACTTTGTGTTTGAACATAATAAGATTTTAATGAACACTAAAAAATATAATTTACACATGTTTGACTATTATTTTTTGACTCAAGTTATTTCAGTGTTTAACTTCTTTTAATCTTAATTTAATATTAATTATTTTTTATTTTTGCCAAACTCATTACTTCCATTAGACGTAATACCTATAGGTATCTATTTTGTTTCTGAATATTCGTTTTGTTTGTTTTGAATACCTAATAAATATACCTAGCATAATATTTCGAAAAAACTTTTTGGTTTAGAAATACAAATCGCAAATTTTAACGGGGTAAGTATTATTCCAACCAACCGAAATTTAAAAATAACTAAATTACTTTAACAAAACACTATAATTGCAACATATTGTTAATATTATCATATTACAATGTTCTACGTATATATCTATAAGTTTTGACAAATAGAAAATTTTCTATTTAATTCACATTGCTCTAATTCCATTGTTGTAGCTGTGTATAATTTTGTGTCCGTATTTCCCTCGATATTTTCATTGGATAAGATGCGTATAGGTGGATGGTTTTTACTTTTCAGTCCTCACGTACAAAATGCATCAATAATTTTTAGCTGTGGATGAGAAACGTCTCGACAACTTGTGTACTTAGGCGCTTTATCAGACAATTTCAGGAGTATTCTTAGGGCTGCCATATAGATTATCTAATTAATAATTCATTTCACGTATAGTATTTTTATTTGTGTTGCCTTGGGATTATGTGTTACACGTTTTTACAATTCATGAAGGATAAATATAATTTTTAACTAATAAGATTTAAGTAACACGTTTACGTGGTTAGGTATAATGTTTTATAGTATAAAATAAATTATAAATGATACATATATGTATGTATATTATATATATGTATCATTTATCATTTGTAAATACAATATCAAAAATTAGAATGAAGCGAATTATTCTTTTGTGTACTTCCATTCGTTGGCGTCGGTGTTGTGCAGCATTACAGACTACTACTCAGATATTGTGGTATTTGTCATAGACATTACTATACAACAGTGAACTAATGGATAAGCTATGAGCTCTCCACAGGATCGTGAGAAAAAAAAGGCGTCGATTTATTGTCAATACCATTAACTATTTTTAAGTGTTCGATAGTATAAATATTTAATATTTATAATCGGCGTTTGGCGATTTGTTATAATTTCAAGCCTGGATTTATCTATGAATGTAAACACTGTTTAATTTTTAAAAAATATATGTCGAAATCGGTTGGATACAATACATGCATGTGATTTTAATAAATAATAATTGTAGTACAAAAGATAATATCACTCCTAACAAATAATAAACGAGTAGTTACTTTCAATAGCATAACAATTTCATCGTCAGATTAACTCACGCAATGCATTGCTTATACAATTAACATTCACAGCATCACAATGATATTATATTTTATATTCTTTTAATAAAATCCAATACATAATTTCATTAATTTTCTGAATCGAGTAACGTTCCAAGAATTTTTCGTTTCAATTAAATTTCAATTCATGAATTAATTTAATACTTTCAAATATATCTTTTACACTTGATCTATATTTAACGGTCAGAATAATTATAAAAAAAAAAAAAAAAATAGAATATCTGCAGAATTTAAATCATTTAATTGCCTTTTAGCTATACGTGTCCGTTGCTTTAAGATTTATTTCTGGCGCTAAACTGCAGTCTTGTATGATTTAATTTATAATTGCTATTCATGTGCTTTTAAACGCTTGTTCGGGAAAGGGTTATAATGTTTTTGACATCTGAATCAATGTTTGTCAAAGTGCGACTCATAGGCGACAAAAAATAGAGAAAAATAAGGAACAAAGTGTATACATTTAAAGTATTCGAACCGACGCAACGAAAATTCTAAACAAAAAATTAATTATTTCTGTAAACGAATATGTCTGCGATAAAAAATAAAAGTTGCTAATATTTCTGGGCAATATTAGTGAAACGATATACGTTTTATGTGTCGATGAAAATAAATTAAATTTCTATGTCATAAGTTACCAATTTTCTGACGTAATTTTTAAAAAAATTTCAAACGAAGTACATTATATAACATTTCATTGAAATCATAGTGTTTTTTCGGAGTTCTTTCTAAATCTCGGACGCAATATTATCGTCGAAACGTAATCCAATTTTTGTTCACCACGTACGAGGATAGATATTATATGTCGATTGTTTCTACAAAGAATACGATTACACGTACCTATTAATTCACAATTGTTCTGGTTTGATGCTGATGTCGTGACGATGTCTTCTTCGAATAAATAATTCTAACGAGATTTTTGTTTTTTTTTACAATTATGTGTATTATAAGTCTAACGTGTGTATACGATTATTATTATTATTAGTTTTTTAAATGTTTTCGAAATACCCTGCTGCCGCCGGCCCCTCGTTATTAAGCTCGGACGTTCGAAAGTAGTTTCGTCGTACGCGTAGATAAAACAATATACGTATTATACGGTCGTCGTAAAAACCGCTCGGGACCCATTCGTTTACGAATATATATGAACCTCCCGAAATATTACGGTTCACTTAACACGTAAAGGTTTGATACTGGACTCACCCGATCGAGCGGACGTTCTTTCCGTATACCAGAAATAAGGTGTTCATTATCACCATTACGTTCCGCGAGCGGTAAAATATAATAATATTTACACGTTGTTCTCGTTATTGCGAGTTGATCGTGTGTTAATAATTTTTTTTATTTTTTTTATCGTTTTCTTTACGGCCGAGCGAGATAGTTGGCATTGGGGACGCAAACCTACGGTATAGACGCGACACGGAAAAACGGGGACTAGTGCAACTACATCATAACGAAAACTGTTATTTTCCTGATTTCCAGTTTTCGGGATATACTTCCCGTTTAGGTTTTCTTTCCATTGGGAAAGTTCCTCGTAGATAAATCCCTGATAGTTGTAGTGATATGTGCAGCCGTGTGAAAGCAAAATAAATCAAATATAAACTCATCAAATTATGACGCATTCGTTTTCTTAATTTTGTATTTTACTAAAGTTACTAAGTTAATGCTTTGTACATTGTTATACACCTACGGCCATGGTTTTTAAACAAAATTTTAGAAATATAATTTAAATAAAATCGTAAAATGTTAATAATATTAAACGCAATGTGTATTTTAAACTATAAAATAGTTCAACGGTTATAATTATGCATAAATGTGGTGTGAAATTTGATTATAAGTAATTTAAATATTTAATAAAGTACGTAAGAAGTATAAAATCAGTTAGAATTGTAATCTTAAACTATATTTTCGTGCTATAATATAATTTTATATTTATTTATGTATTTGAATAGTTAATTTTTGTAATTAAATAAAGGAAACTTATAGTTTTACATTAATATTTATTAAAAATATAAGATTTTTTAAATTTAAATTTTAGCATAATAATATTTAATAAACAAAATGATATCTAAGACTTTCAGTACTCAGTTTTTCGTAGTATAATTTTGCGTAGTATAACAGTTTATAATATAAAAATGTAATATAAGTTTAAAAACAGGGAAATGCTTTTTTAAACGTTTTGCGATTGCCCGTTATGTTATTACAAATATTTACTAAAAAAAAAAAAAAAAAAAAATTACAACGTAACAATTGATAAAATTGCTGTTCTTTTCTTCACACTGTGCAATGCACACATTTATACGCGTATACCTTTGACGTGAATCGATCAATATTTGTAATCCTTTGTTGCACGAATTTTGCATAATCACATGCATTTAATATATATAAGTAAAACTTATTTCTAAAGTAGTATCACTGGACGCTATCTTCAATCACATTTTCCAGTTCATTATTGTATATTCTATTACAGATTGTAAATATTAGTAGATGGAATAAAACAAAAATAAAACGTAGACGATACACCTATCTAGAACGCGCTAAGAAATGAATATAATTGGAAACCCATGCCTACACGACGTAAAATTAATAAAACGAAAACGCAATCGGCCGATCAGTTATTAATTATTACTGTTTAAAGCCTTACGAAACACGATACGCGTTATTATCCGATACATATCGATCGCGATACTGTAAACCATAAGACTACGCGTGTACAGACGGGGACTGTTGCGATCCTCGGGACTCAAGCCTGAGGGGCGTTTGAAGACGAATGTTTTTTTATTTTCCGTTCTCGGATACATATGTGATTTCGTACCGTTTAACTTTCACACGGAACGCATAATATTATACGATCGTCCTACGCGAACGCGCACCGGTAATGTCTACACGAATGTTTTCTCGGGGAATAATAAAAAAAAAATTAAAAAAAAAAAAAAATAATAAAAAAAAATCATTCACCCGTAGTGTATACCTCGTGGCTTGATCGTTTATCGCGGTCGATCGAAATATTATGTTTATTATTATCATTTTCGTATACGGTCACCCCTAAGCGCGTCACGATGTTTTACGTTACATATCGGTAAAGTAATCGAATGTATATAATATTATGCAGTGCGTTGTCTATAGCACGCGCAACTATATCGATATTCGATTTAAACGACAGAGAAATTGTATATGAGTTTTAAAAACGTTTAAAAGGGCCACTTTAGCCGACGAATCGGACAAATTATACGCTCACAGATGTCCGTCTCCGATATCGCGGCACGTCCCACGTACATAATACGCACACATATAATATACGTACGGTTTTACTCGTACGTATAAGTACTGTGCACAAACGCACGCGCGCGCGAGCGTGTGTGTTTATGATAATAGATTTTCGACATTAAAATATACTTTATGGATTATCTTTTTCCTCTAATCATAAGGTTCACGATCCGAATGCTCGTCTGTTGTACCGTCGCATTATGATATCGTCGTCGTAGTATGTTATAACCTTTCTGATCATAATTGTATGTTGCATTTTAGATCATGATCGGATCGGGTGGACATACTGTTGGTTTTACCGTGTTGTGTTTTTATTTTTTGTTTATTTTTTGACCATCACCAAGATTTCAACCGGAAGGATTGTTCAGGCTATCAATCAAAATAGACTTTTTTCCAATAACGAAACGTATCTAGTTGATGATTTTTGGAGATTGTTTTTTGTACTTCTAAACAGTTATCCAAATAGTTGAGAAAAAATAACGATCGTTGACACTTGAAATTCTCTACGAGAACTAAATATTATTGTTTTTCACTTTTTCACATGTAGGAACTTACGTACCGGTATGTATTTTTTGTGTAGGAATTTACGTACCACTCTATTTTTTTTTTTTTTTTTGTATCAACTTACATATGTAAACGTTTACCTGCTATGCTTTATGTGGGAACTTACCATCTCCCCAAATATCAGAGTATAAAACAACGTTACACGTTAAAACAAAGCTAATTATATTTTGCACCTAAAGATATATTAAGGAATTTTTGCTTTAGAACATATTTATCTCGTTTAATACTTTTTAATGCTTACATTTCTTACATGAAAAAAGTTGAAACGTATAGTTTTAAGAATGTCTTTTTTTGTTTAATTATACAAGAAAATTAAACAGAACAAAAATCAAAATTTTTACATGATTTTTGTTCAATTGAAATTGACTTAAATTATTTAATTTACGTAATAATTTGATAATAGATGTTGGTGCCGCAGCAGTATAATACGGATTCACGTTCTTCTTAGAAGCGCTTAGTAACGGATAATCAATTATATGACGATTGACGAAAAACACCATTTAAAGACGTAAAATATTTTAAATTAAAAAAAAAAAAAGTGTATTTTAAAATGCATAGTTAGTGATTATCCTTTTTCTTATTATTTCTGTAGAACGAAGAGCGTGTTACCGTTGACATCTGGCGTTATAATATTATGCCATTACACGTATTCGATAAATAGTGAGGACATCCTATAAAATTTCCATTTTATTACCGAGCTTTTTAAAAACAAATTTCAAAACTCGTCGTAGGTGTAATGTGTTTCGATATAACGCACGATCGCTATACGTACGTTCTCAAAAACCGGGGAACAGTGATGATGCGTTGTATTTTTCAAAGATAAATAAATACTAGAAGTAAACTGAAAACAAATAATTCTTAATCTTTAGCAAAAGCATAGCACGAACTATTTGCGTACAAACGTAAAAACGAGCGCAAAGTTGTACTTGTTAAATATACTCGTAATTTAATACTATGTAGGATACGCAGTATACTAAATAAATCTATAAATTATTTTATACAAATATTTAAACGAAAAAAATTGATAAATATATAAAAAAAATAATAATATATGCGAATCATATGCATTTAAGTACACAGGTTTTACTGAAATACGTTTGAAACCTAATCCGGAACGTTAGAAAGTATGAATAATAACGTAAAGACATATATTTTATGTTCAGTACAGCCGAGTGGCTACAAATCGAATCCTAAAAGGAGACTAAAGAAAAATTCAAAAAGTTGAGCTGTAGTGACTCGGACACAACCGCGTGGCCAATGATTAACTATAATAATAATTATACGTTTTACATTTGTTAATTACACAAAAACCGCATTCGAACTTGTTGCAGTTTCCTAGTCGGAGGAATTGTGCTTAATATTTATTATGTTTTGCAGACCAAACGTGTGTCGGTCGCGCTTTAGAAACTACTGTTGTCCGGGCTGGACATTGAAACACGCGACAGGGCTTTGCATTGTCCGTGAGTATAATATTAAACACATTATTTTTCTGTTCTATTAATTACTTTTATAATTATAACTGTATTATCCTTAATGGCCTATTTAGTACTAGAAAAAAAAAAAATTATAACTGTTAAGCGCCTTTTTTTTTTCAAACGCCGACCAACCGAGGTCGTATAACACATTATTATGCTCTATTAACAGAGAAATAATATCGTCCATTTGATGTGTCCTATGATTGTTCATACTTCGTTAATTTTTATTTATTATTTTTTTTATTTTGCAAGTCGTCGCGCATAATATTCTTATGGTATAGCTCGGTTGTTTTTCTTGCAAACGCATTTCGCCTTTATAGTTTTAGAATAAATAACGATATACGCACTACGGTATTATGCGAATCTCATTTATTCCGCACGACAAGATCTTGACCGAGATACGTCTGATCGATCGGAAATGGGTCGGCAACAAGACGACAGTACTTTTTTTTATAACTATATTACTCGAGGCATTTCAGCATGATTTGACAATTGTAATAAATTCTTATTCAATATTTTTCGTCCTATTTTTTTTTTTTATATGAAATTTAAAATTACATTAAATTCTAAAAATAACAAAAATATTAAAATAGTCCGTTTTCAAACTCCGAATGTTTGTTAATGTTTGATATCCTAATACTGATTCATTGATATTAAAAGTTTGGGAAAATGTAATCATATTTCATGTACTTATTGGTAACGGTTACCAGTAATGTCCGGTTAAAATTATTAAAATTTTCAAAAGCTCAAGAAGATAGAGGAAAATCGCAAATCAATGTAAATTAGAATTACATACATCAAGTATTTCCAATGAATCCGTTTAAGGATATGGAATTTTTGACGGTTTATTTATTTACACGATATAAACTTGTTAGTTTATAAAAAAAAAAAAAAAATTATATTCCCAACAATAGTTAGGTACTTATTTGATTTGTGAAATCACGTTATTGAACTTTGTACGTACAACACATACGGTGGATTGGATTCGACCGTTTTTTCGACATTTTTCAACGTTCGATTCCGTTTCTCGATTGTTTTCCCTGTTCTTTGCAGCCGTGTGCAACAGGCCGTGCAATGGCGGTAGGTGTATCAAGCCGAACATGTGCCTGTGCGACGAGGGCTCGGTGCGATCGGCGTGTTTGCCGGACGACCTGCGAGACGCTTACAACAAGGACAACGATCAACGGCCGGTGCCGCCCGACCGGATTGAGAGGCTACCGGCGGTCGGCGTCGTGGACGGCGAGAAGAACACAGACGCCGGGAACGACGACAATGATGACAGTGACGGGAACAAGGATAGTGTCGAGAGCGGGGGCCACGGCGGCAGGACTAAGGGTGGCGGGACCGGCGGCCCGAGCACCAGGATCAGTACGATTACCCCTTTGGCGACGACTACTCCGCGGAACGTGTGCAAGTACCCGTGTCTGAACGGTGGCACTTGTCTGGGATCGGTTTGCGCGTGCCGACTGGGCTACAACGGCGAGAACTGCGGTGACCGTAAGTGAATCAAACCGTTCGCAAACTGGGACGAAACAAATCCTTTTCTGAACGTCGATGTGAGCGATCCGCGGCGTGAAGGAATGTAACATTATACAATCTACTGCTATTCGTTTTATACGCCTACGGTATTATGTACCTTATAGCGTGCAACATGTACCTATGTACGTACACGGTTCGATTAATCATGTCGTGCTCCGTATTGCGTACAGAATTTCAAGCTAAATCCGAATGTACTTTTTTTTTAAGTTTTAACGAAACATACGTAACATCGGTTCCTTTAATTTTGATATTACTAGTCAGTACACAATTACTAGTGTTAGATGTCAGTAGTAGTAGTTAAAAGTTTAATAATTAATTCAACGTTATAGAATTCACAACAATAATTGTTAATCATTAATAGCGTCAAAGAATTTTAAATTGAAATTTTAAATATGAATCAAAAATAAGTGGTAATAAGATATGGGAACACGCAAGACGTAACATAATTAATTAAACGATATACGTACATAGGTACACATAGGTACATATTACGTACTATATAGTGTATAATATAGTAGGCATATAAAATTTTGCCGCAGTTTACATATCGACTTTTAGAAAAAAAGTTAATTTTGCCGCAGTTTACCATTTCGCGCGACATTACTTCGCGGCAAAAATACGTGCGTTCGAGCAATACACGTGGTTTGAAACATGTGAAGCGAAAACGATTATGGTCCCGTAATGTTCAACACAGATGGGCCATTGGCGGCCCGCGTACTTTTTTTATCCTGCCCGTCCTGATCACTTCATAACGTTTTAGCGTTTTTATCAGCGTTCAATTTTATCTCGTTCATTATAAAACGTAGATATTATATTTTTCTCCGCTATTGAACTTCAACTAGATCATTAAATGTCTAAATATAATTTGTGTCCACTTCGCCATAGTCAACATAGCTATAGGTATTAGGCACTTATTTTACTGCATTGGTTCAGTCGTAAAATTAAATTATTTAAAACGAATGCTAATTGTCAATTTTAATGAACTTTATTTTCATTTTTGCTTTTTTTACTATAGCCCGGCAGATTTTAAAGTTCTAAAAATTAGTTCTTTAGTTACTTTGAGTTCTCCATCCCTGGATTAACACATATCCGTTGAACATGAATTTGAAAAAAGTCTACGTTTCCGAAGTTCTTAAAAATTCTAACTAATCGATTTTACGAACACGCCCAAAACTCAGGGTTATATGACGTCATTTTTTATTTATTTATTTATTTATTTTTTTGTTTAATTTGTTTGTCCAATCGCTTGGAACCGAAGAACTCGATTGGTCCAAACGGTCCGTTGTCGTCATATTTCAATATATTATGCCTAATCTATTTATTTTTTTCGTTGTGTTTATAGCGATCTGCCGAGATGGATGTTTAAACGGCGGCCGTTGTATCGGTCCTGACCGATGTGCATGCGTATACGGATACGCAGGGCGGAGATGTGAAGCCGGTAGGTAAATATTTGTTCATAAAATTACTGGGTAATAAACGCACGTGACATGGCGTCCGACTGTTGGAAGGCATATACGTTTCAAAAACAAGGTTTCCACACGTTGAATTATTTGTACAATATTGTCTAAATATCTAACCGGTGATTAACCAAACGCAAAAATTTGCGACCATAACTATGTAGGACGAAAAGTATAGACTTTGTTCGCTATTAAAATCTATTTATGAATTGGTTTTCAATAATACATTTTTATAAACGAAACTTAAGGATTGGTATATATGATTTATTTTTAAACCAATATCAAGAAATCCCTATAAAACCAAATAACTTTTCAACATATTAATATAATTGTTAAAAAATTAATATGATATCCTTGTGAACAAACATTTTACTATCAAATGTAAACTATAAATAAACTATGAATCAATGCGGTCTTGCAGTATGTGTAAGTTTAAGTTCATTATCGAAAAGAAAAAAAAACATTTATTAAATTAAATATCCTTGAGAACATAATGAGTTGACATTGTTCAATAACTATTTCAATGCGATATTAAAGTGTGGAATACATTTTTGTGCCACAATATATCGCATATACGACTGCGACCGTTTTCCGCAGCACGTATGTTTTATAAGATACTACTCAGACCGTGTCACGTCCAAGTTAGTTTGATAATATCAAATCGACATCAGTCGATTCTGCTCGATCATTCGCGTTCTTTGTGATATGATTAAAATATCGTTTGTTCCTTCTTCATCCGCGTCCCGTTTGATTTTAGATTACCGAATCGGTCCGTGCTTCACCAGAGTGATAAACGACATGTGCCAAGGCCAACTCGAGGGTGTTGTGTGCACCAAACAACTATGTTGCGCGACAATCGGCTTGGCTTGGGGACATCCGTGCGAACAGTGTTCGTTGAGTTACGACTGCGATATAGGTTTCCTCAAGAACCTGCATTCCAACCAATGCATAGGTGAGCGTTTTTATAAGAACGAAGTCATCGCCGGTGCTCGTTAACGATATATTGTGTTTTCCATAAATAATGTTTGGACTATGTTCAAAAATATGTCATTTATTTGGAAATTAGACAAAACTGTAGTGTATAAGTAGATGGTTGATTGATGACATTCCAGGAAAAAATGTTTTCACAACAACGGGGGAAAAAAAATAAATATTTAGTTTATTTAAATGACGGATGGATGTAACTTAATGGTTGCTTGATAAGCAACTAATAGTGGAAAACAAACATTTTAAACGTATTTTTTTAATATTTTTAATTATAATTTTCTATTTAAAATCTATATACGTTTATGTCAATGCTAGCGTTATTTTTAACAGTCAGCTTGTTCTTAAAACGGTCCGACTCGACTAGATCACCATTTTACGGACACGATTCGGGAAGTTTTAAAAGAAAAATATGTAATCGTATAAACATGTTTTTTTTCGGTTTTGTTTTCTAGATATAGACGAATGCGAGGCAATACCGGGTATTTGTAAGGGCGGAGCATGCGTTAACACCGTGGGATCTTTTAAGTGCGTGTGTCCCGAGGGTCGAATACATAATCAAGTGACAAACGTGTGCGACGACGAAAACGAATGCAAAAGAGGTGATCCAAACATTTGTCAAGACGGTTATTGCGTAAATACCGACAGCTCGTATTATTGTATTTGTAAACAAGGATTCGTGCCTACGGCGGACCGCAAAGGGTGTATTGGTTAGTGTGCATCCATTCCATAAGGGTTATGTTTACATGCATATGTTAATGCTGTTAACTTTTAATTTATAACCACTATTGTAGGGGACGAGAAAAAAAAAAAAAAACTGTTTGTTTTTGTAATTTTTCAGACACTCAGCAAGGTAACTGTTTCACGCGACTCACGTCTAATGGCGACTGTTCGGAACCGTTGCCGATAAAACTTTCAAAAAAAGATTGTTGTTGCGGTAAAGATATGGGAAAAGGCTGGGGAAACACTTGCGAACACTGCCCTACGCAGGGAATAGGTTTGTACATGGTTTCATTAGTTGGATTAACATTAGTTTTAAAACATATTTCAATCATTTTACACTTTACGTCGATGATAAAAGTGCATTTCTTTGCAAACAAACATCATACTTGAAATATATTTTTTTTGGTTGTTTTATTTATTATTTTACCGATAGTAGATCGAAAGCTTATTCCCCGATAAAAATAAAAATGATTCTGAACACTTATTTTAGTAACTTGTCTCTACTGATGGAGAATTACGTGAAATTGTTTGTTTTTAGCCGAGTACGTGAAACTCTGTCTCGGAGGCATAGCAAATCAAACAGTACTGAACTTAGTGGACGAATGCGGGCTGAGACCAGAGATTTGCGGAGCAGGAGGAAGGTGCATCGACACGGTGGACGGATACGCGTGCGAATGTTTCTCTGGCTTCACTAAAAGCAGACATGAGGACTCACAAGTGTGTGAAGGCTAGTCATCTATGTGTAAATTACGCTTAAAATACTATACGCATTGTCGTCAGATCGCGTTGATCTCCAATGACATTTTGTTTCATTTCCGTATTGATTTTGATTTTATTCAGACATCAATGAATGCTCGCAACAGGGTATTTGCAATAACGGTCAGTGCAGTAACACTCCAGGGAGTTTCATATGCTCTTGTCCGCCCGGATACGATTTGGCTTCGGACGGGAAACGTTGCATAGGTAATAATAACACACACACACACACACACACATACAATTGTAGTCAAACAAAGAGTGATTACATTTTTTTTATTAAATCACTACTCATTGATTTCCCATCAGACCACAATGAATGCGAAAAAAATGGCATGTGTGCCAACGGAAAGTGTTTAAATGTTCAAGGATCTTTCCAGTGCCGTTGCAAATCCGGATTCGTAATGTCGCAGACCGGTCATTCTTGTATAGGTAACAATCAATTTTGGTCAATAATATGTTTTTTATTTAAATAAGCTAATTACAATTTTTTATCTAAAAAAATAAGTAAATTGTATGCATAATTAATAGAACCATTGATTATGACTACTATAGGATCTATAATACATGTAACAATGGTTTGCATGGTTTTCGTGAAGGAAACAGTTTACTTACAGCATCCCAGATTAATATTCTTTAGTTTAACGTTATCAATTACGTTTTGAAAACGCCAATAGTAGGTATCTTATGTTTGTTATATTTGCGTTAGTTGTGGTTCCGATCATTAGTTAAACGAATTAATCAATATCGGTTTTGCGTGCAGAACAATAAGATTCGTATTATTTTTCCATTGTTTAGCCGACAAACACTCATTGTATGCGTCAAATTCATTACCAGACCACAGGGTTTTTAATAGAAGTAACTTCACGATCATTTTTAGTTCATAAATTAGGGCATATTTCAGTACGTTTAGGACTACAAAACTAAACATCACTAAACGTTACGTTCAACATTTCAGACGTAGACGAATGCTACGAGAATCCAAAAATCTGCCTCAACGGCAAATGTCGAAACACCCCGGGTTCGTACATTTGTGAGTGTCAGCCCGGGTACACGGTGTCGCCGGACGGGACGTTTTGCACGGACACGAACGAGTGCGAGAAGAAACCGGACCTTTGCAGGAACGGCAAGTGCGCGAACACCGATGGCTCGTACAAATGCCTCTGCGACTCGGGCTACAGGTTGTCGCCCGACCGACAAAACTGCATAGGTAAAAAACGCAATGATTTCTAAACTACACTCGTTACACCAGGGGTGGAACTAGGGGCGGAAGACGGGGATTCATTCCTGGGCGTAAAATTTTAGAGGGTGCAATTTTTGTAATTATTAACAACTGATTTGATATTTTTAACTTTGTTAAATACCGATATTAGGTTATAACTCAATAAGTATGATTGTATATTATTCGTTAGAAAAAAATTCTCGAGAAGAGTATTTCATTATTAATCTATGGTAGGGCGTAATTTTAACATTTTCCCCGGTCGTAGAAATTCCTAGTTCCTCATCTGCGTTGCACTGATCAGTCACATGTACGCTGTAAGCTACGTGACGCTATGGCGATTGTTATTATTATTATGATTGCGTTGCAGACATCGACGAGTGTTCAAACGCTGGAGGCCCCTGTCAAAACGGCAAATGCATAAACACGGCCGGCAGTTACCGGTGCGAGTGTCAAGAAGGATTTTACCTGGGACTCGACGATGGACGCACGTGCCTGGGTACGTATTGCACTGTAGTTCGGATCCCGTCCGCAATGATTCCGGTCTGTACAATGTGAAATACGTTTTGCAGATACCCTGCGCGACATTTGCTATGCAAACTACCAGCAGGGCTCGTGCCTACAACCGTTGAACACGCCAGTAACGAAGTCCAGCTGCTGTTGTTCACACGGCGTGGCCGGTCAGACAGCCGGATGGGGCTCGCCATGCGCAAAATGCCCTGCCCCGGACACGGTGGACTTCAAAGCGCTGTGCCCGCAAGGCACGGGGATGACGTACAACGGCGACGGTTCGTGTCCGGGCGAACGAGTCCATACAACGTTCGTTCTTGCGTTTTTTACACCCCGTACGATTTTTGTTTCAGACATCAACGAGTGCGCCCAGAACCCGGCTGTGTGCTCCAACGGCGCGTGCGAGAACACCATCGGAAACTATCGGTGCATATGCAATGCCGGCTACGAGGTGGACGACACGGGAAAATCGTGCAAGGACATCAACGAGTGCGATATGGACGATACCATATGCAACGGCGGCCAGTGCCGCAACACACCCGGAAGTTTTCAGGTAATACAAACTTGATATGTCAAAATATGTTGACGTAATCCACGACGTACTGTGTCCCCGTTCTCCGAGACGATGAAGCTCTTTGGCCGGATCAACACCAAGTTCCTTCTCCTAACATCCCGTCCTGCCCGACAACCTAGCTAAAATTTACAACCGCTACCGCTACCAGATCTAATAACCTCGCATACGAGCATCAAGACGTATAGCCTGGTATTCTTTAGTGGGCGACCACTCGATTCTCAATATTCTTTTTAGCACGATTACGTGTACATTTATATTTTTAACTTATAGGTTACACAGTTATAGTTTCAACAGCGTTTTTTACGATAATTAATATCAGCCCCTATTGAAATATCGCGTTATAAAATTATTCATATTAAACTATTGATGTGATGTGTATTTAATTGAAATAAATATTTTATTTTAAACAAGACTGACCAAGAACATAATACGTAATATAATGGACACAATACATTGTGTATAGGTAATCTTAGCTTCGCAATACCAATTATATCAATTGAAAATGTATATTGCACATAAACGCAAAAGGGTATAATTTGAAACGCTCTAGTTGAACTTAACAGAAAGACACTTTAGAGACAATTACAATAAAACAGATTTTTGACGATTTCCTAACATCAAAATGGCGTATTTCAATTACTACTTATAAAAATACAATGTTAAGGTTTTGGAAAGGTTAAATGTTTAGTGGGTGTGTACTATATGTATGTTTCCAGTGCACCTGTCCCGACGGAACCGTGTTGAATTCTCAAAGTCAAGCTTGTGAGGATGTAAACGAGTGCGATGAACTCGGTCTTAATGCGTGCGTGGCGGGCCAATGTATAAACACTGTCGGTTCTTTCGAGTGCGAATGTCCTCCGGGCACCATTTTGGACAGTACCGGGCGAGTGTGTTTAGGTAACGTCGAAATGAAACCACGTTCGATAAATCACATTTTTTTTAATTTAATTTTACACGCTGTATAGATAACCGTCGCGGTTCGTGTTGGACGCGTTTGACCGGTGGTAGATGCGAGAACAACCTTATGCAATTAACCTTGAAATCGGATTGCTGTTGTTCAATCGGGTTGGCATGGGGTAGTCCGTGCGAGCCTTGTAAACAGGACGATTGTGGTGGCGAGTGTAACAAAGGATACGTGGTAAGTTGTAAATGCATTAGCAACGAACCGGGGATTTCGTCAAAAGTGATTACTTTTTCTTCAGTCTGTAGGTAAAATGTGTCGCGATATAAATGAATGCGAACTCAGTCCTGGAATATGTAGAGGTGGAGGTACTTGCGTGAACACTGAAGGATCGTTCACTTGCGTTTGTCCTCCTGGGCTTACACTGGACACCACCGGTAACTGACTCGCTATAGATCGAAATTCAAATATCATTAAACTAATGCGTTTGGTTTTCTTTACAGGAACGGTTTGCTTGGACGTCCGGGAAGAAAAGTGCTACACGGATTTCAAACATGGAGCTGGCGTCAATCCGTTAGATGGGCTTTACCCAAAGAGTATTTGTTGCTGTTCCAACATAGGGAAAGCTTGGGGAGGAGGCATTGAAGGATCTATTAGCAGGAGTGAACTTTGTCCTCGACGTGGGACTCCGAGTTTTACAGAATTGTGTCCAAAAGTTAGTAGGCCCTTAACGGTTTAATACAAAAGCGTGTGAGCTTATGTGTTTTTTCTTATCGCGTAATACAGGGACCGGGTTTTATCGATCGCAAAGACATCAACGAGTGTATCGAGTTCCCGGGAATATGTAGTAACGGGCGGTGTAAAAACACAATGGGAGGTTTTACGTGTAAATGCAGTCAAGGATATGCTTTGGACGAATCTGGAATCCGTTGTGTTGGTACGGACCGCATATGCGAGTTTTGTTTGTTGATAAATCAATGCTGTTTACGAAATACTGTATTTGTCCAGATATCGACGAGTGCAGCATTATGCACGGCGTATGTGGCGACGGAGAGTGTCAAAACGTACCGGGAAGCTTCGTGTGCAAGTGCAAGGAAGGTTACGAGACGTCGCAACTGATGCAAGTCTGCATGGGTATAAACACATTGTTCCGTATTTAAATAATGTCAAAATTGAATATACGCTTTAAATGATAAACCGTACACCGCTAACCGTTCGCATGATGTTTGTTTTCCGGACTAAAAAAAAAAAGATATCGACGAGTGCGAGAGGACCCCCGGACTGTGCCGCGGTGGCACGTGCAAAAACACACCAGGCAGCTATAAATGCGAATGCCCCCCCGGCCACGAGCTGTCCGCGGACAAGCAAAGCTGCAAAGGTTCGTGCGAAACCAAAGAGCTTGAGTGCGCGTTATGCTAATCGATACGCGCGTGTTACAGACATAGACGAGTGTTCGAGGACCAGCGGGATATGTTCGAACGGCGTTTGCGAGAACATGATGGGCACGTACCAATGCGTGTGCGACGACGGCTACAGGCAAACGGACCAAAAGTTTTATTGCGAAGGTTAGTTGCGTTCGTACTGGGCATCGAGATAAATAAAACTATTATTCGTTTGTTTTCTTTCCCCCAACTAAATCTCATTGTACCCAAGACAAACATTTCACGTTTGCTACGATTTTCTTATGCGTTCGGGTAGTCTGTAGTTGTAAGAACGTTTCACTGTGTTTCAGACATCAACGAGTGCGAGACGAATAACGGTGGTTGTTCGTCTTTGTGCATAAACGTGCCGGGTAGTTACACGTGTTCTTGCAAGTACGTATTGAGGATAACGGACAATTGACATCACGTCAACTGTTAAAAATTCGCCTAACATCTGTTGTTGTTCGCACAGGACCGGGTTCAATCTGTTAGCCGATAGACGGACGTGCGCGGACGTGGACGAATGCGAAGAAAACCCTAGGATTTGTAACGGTGGCCAGTGCAATAACACGATAGGCAGTTTTCTGTGCTCTTGTTCCGGAGGCCTGCTCAAAGGAGACGACGGTTCGTCGTGTTTAGGTAATCAATCGAAACCGTATCATCGTACACAGTTATTTTGCTGGTTGTTTTCAAATAAAACTGGACTGTACAACATCGTTTATGTTTTCGCAAAGATATTAACGAATGTGACGAGAAGGACGTGTGCGGAAACGGTGTCTGTAGTAATACTATCGGGTCTTTTACGTGCCGATGCGAAGAAGGGTATTCGGCCAAATTGGATGCCGGTCCTGCTTGCACCGACGAAGACGAATGCGAGATGGGTACCCATAGGTGCGATGTGAACGCAGCGTGTATTAACAATCCGGTAAGGAAAACGCACGAATATTTTAATTTTAATCGATTTGATAAATGATGTTTTTATAGTAAAAATAATTAATAAATGAAAAATATGTCGATGTACAGTATAATATTTATAAATCGAGAGAAATAAAAATACTAATTTTTTATTTGATCATCTTAGGGATCCTACGGGTGTCGGTGTCAAGATGGTTTTACCGGTAACGGATACAATTGTATGGATATCAATGAATGTTTGACTAACAACGGAGGATGTGACCAAAACGCACAGTGTATAAACGAAGAAGGATCATCAAAGGTAAAGAAACACAAAGTTATGGTAATATGTACAACCGGAAGTGAATTCATAAAGTAAAAATTCGTTTATTTTTAAACCCAAAACGAAAATACATGTCGTTGTATTCATTTAATTTCGTGAATTTAACCACCCGTACATTAGATTATTAATTTTACTCTATTGGCATCTATGTTAGTTTCGTACCGAAAAAAACGCGAAATATTTTTAACCACCGATTCGAACATTGAAAAATTAAAAGTAATTATTATTTAATTTGAACGTTTAGTGCATATGCGATGACGGTTTTCGCGGTGACGGTTACACGTGTACGGACATAGACGAATGCACTGAAGATTCGACGCTATGCGAGAACGGTCACTGTTTGAACTATCCCGGTTCGTTTAGATGCGAATGTGAAATGGGTTTCATTAACCCGGATGACAAAAATGAAAAATCTTGTAACGGTACGCAAGTTTAACTTTCGAAGTATCTTAACATAATCAAATATTTTTCCCAGTTATTTTTTCATAATTCTTATTATCTATGGTGTAAAACATATTGTAAATGTCCACAGACATAAACGAATGTCAAATGTTCAACAATCTGTGCGTGTATGGAAATTGTGAAAATATTTTTGGAACATTTAGATGCGAGTGTAATGAAGGATACCAATTAGACAACACGGGAGGTACAAAGTGGTGTTTTTTATTTTATATTTTTATTGAGTAAACTTTACAAAATCCTTATCTAGGAAATTGCACGGACGTAAATGAATGTGAAAGCCCCCAAGCATGTTTATACGGCGAGTGTATAAACAACGAAGGAAATTACACCTGTAAATGTCCGCCAAACTATCAGCTAGTCGCTGCTGGAAACGCATGTGTTGGTATGTAATCGTTTTTAACATTTCGATTCGTATTAATAGTATAATAATGCAAAAAATGATAGGTTGAAATAATTCATTAATTTTGTATTCTTATAAATTACCTAAATTGCGTGAAAAATGAAAAAAATTGATAGTAGGTTTTTTTACTTACCTACAATTCAAAAGCGTTTTAAATCCTACGATTTTTGAAAAAAATTTATTTTTTATAAAATGTATGATATATTTTCAAATCAAACTGACAAAAACATTTTTCGCTGTAAATTAGATAGAAGAGAAGGGCGTTGCTACATGGAAGTAGAAGACAGAGGTGGTCAGAGACGCTGCCACCACGAGATGGGATCCGCAGTGTCAAAAGCTACATGTTGTTGTTCCGTGGGCAAAGCTTGGGGTTCCAAGTGCGAATTGTGTCCGGGAGTGGACACGGAAGAGTACAAGACGTTGTGTCCTGGAGGTACCGGATACAGACCTAACCCATCCACCGTAAGTGTTACTTGACACGGAACCCGAGGTTTCGTCTCGGTGCGTTTTGTGTACCCTATTTGAGTAAAATATTTCTCTGAAGGATTCAACCTATCGATATCCTTTTACAATAAATCCGATGGCACGTTTTGGTAGTGTTTTCGATATGGCCAATAGCCCTCATTTTGATATACCGTGAAGTAAGGTATTTTCGTGGTATAGGCATTTTCGCAATATTATTTGTTGAACGTATAATGTAATTCATTATAACACGAATGACTTGAAAATTACATTGATCCTTAAAACGACAGTGTTTTTATATAATAGGAAATTACATTAAATAAATAATAATATCACAAAATTGCCTATGCCACGAAAATACCTTACTTCACCCTATTTTCAGATACGAATTACATTTTTACGTTAGTCAAGTGCGCGCTCAATCGTACTCTATCGGTTTAGATAGTCAGTGGTCGACACGTATCAATTCGAAAACATGATTTTATCAATTATACAAACAACGTAGCGGCATCGTAAAAGTAAAAATGTAAAACTTTCGATTTGTATAAAATAATAAACACCTATCTGGTGTAAATCTCATGTTGTACTCGGTTTACACAATTTAATTCGTATCTACGTTCGGTATAATCCAAACAGGCTGTTAAGTTCTTCCCTAAAAATACTGTGAAATATTGCCCAAACTTGTTAAGAAAAAACATTAAAAAAATACCTCGGCCTAATTCACGGAAACGTTTTCCTCCCGTTTTTTTTTAAAGGTGATTCTCGAAGACCTGAACGAGTGTGAAGAACACGACCACCTGTGCGAGAACGGTCATTGCACCAACACGTTCGGTAGTTACATGTGTTCGTGCAACGAGGGTTACCGGCTGGACAACACCAGTACATTCTGTTATGGTAATGTAAGCAGCATAAATCAGTGTTCGCGGGTACACTCGTGTGGTTACTCGTTTTGTTAATCGATTTCAGACGTGGACGAGTGCAACGAGAGACCGGATGTCTGCGGTGCAGGGTTTTGCGTCAACGATGTGGGGACCTATCATTGCGTTTGTCCGGAGGGATATATGTTGCTGCCTAACGGAAGTATGCGCCTGATGGTTTTTGTGATATTCGCGAGACACGACCGCACGCGAATCCGCGGTTTCCGAACGATCGAATACTATTTTGATTATTGTGTTTTGCAGAGGAGTGCGTGGACATGCGAAAGGAGAACTGTTTTTTGAACTACACGGACGGCCAGTGTTCGGTGGCCATGTCAAACAGCCAAACCCGAATGATTTGTTGTTGTTCGATGGGCCAAGCTTGGGGCCTTCCATGTCAACCTTGCCCGGCGTCCACCACGAGTAGGTCTTAAAGCATATTATTTATATCGTATCAATCACGAATCAATGCCGGATTAGGTCTAGGGATGTGATTCAGGATGAATTTACTAAAAGGAAAACACTCGGAGGTTCCTCAAAAAAAATAAAAATAAAATAAATACTATTTTTTCAATACACAATGTTAAAATTGAATAATAATAACAATAGTTTACACAGAGAACGGCTAACATAGGACAATGTTTCAACCATACCACAATTTCACAATCATGTAAATTATTTTTAAAAAATGGTGCATAAATGAAATGTGTAATAAGAGCAAAATAATAATAATAACATTAATGAGTTACGATTAATCCAATGTCCAGTGAAAAATTGTATATTTTTATTCAACATTCGTATAGTTCACTAAATTATTATTGAATATTTGATAGTAAAATATTTTTGGATATAGTATCATTAAACCGTAATGCATTATTAAATGCTCATAAGAAACTCTAGGGTTTGCATCTGAGGGTCCAGTGCATTGCACTCTCGTTACATCCCGGTACCGTGTGGACCACGATATCGTGTATTCGGATAATATTAGCTATAACATTTACTAATCGCTGTGATTTCGCGCACCCAAGAGGAATACCTGTTGCTGTGCGGATCGAGACCAGGTTTGATCATGAACCCCATGACCAACCGGACCGAGGAAATCGACGAGTGTACGCTGATGCCAAACATGTGCAACCACGGGACGTGCGTCAACACGCCGGGAAGCTTTCACTGTTCGTGCGACAGCGGTTACGTGTACGACGCTAACTCGCACCAGTGCATCGGTAAGTGCGATAATATAATGCAATACCCTCACGCGGACGGTGCATTGTTACTGCGACTCGTTTTTTTTTTTCCAGACGACAACGAATGTTTACGCATACCACCCCCGTGCCGGGGAATCGCCCAGTGCGTGAACACCCCCGGGTCTTTCGAATGCCAGTGTCCGGAAGGATACAAGCTCGGAACGACCGCCAGAGAGTGTGTGGGTTAGTTACGTTTGCATATTGTTAACATACCTATATATATATATTTAAATTTAAATCGCGTTTAAAAATTCCAATCGACCTTTGTGGTAAACACAAAAGTGTTTTCTATCCGTGAAACCCGATTTGATGAGAAATATTTTTTCGTGTTGAATTGTATTTTAAAACGATTTCTCTTCGCCGTTCGATCAGCGGAACTTTAGATCGTACTTTAAACCTAGTCACGCCCACGTGATCGTTATTCGTACATTAACTTGAGTTCGATGTGTGTTCAAGACATTGACGAGTGCTACGAACGAGACGGAATTTGCCGGGACGGCGAGTGCACAAATCTGGACGGAAGTTTCCAATGCATCTGCCACAACGGTTACGCTCTCACGGCTTCCCGCGACACTTGCGTGGACGTTGACGAGTGCAGCCGTCATCCGAACGTGTGCAACAACGGCACTTGCCTGAATTCGGTGGGCTCGTTCAAGTGCAACTGCTCCGATGGATTCAAACTGAGTCATAACAACGATTGCATTGGTACACACACACACGCACACGACTGACTTTTACTATACAATTAACACAATCGTTTGATTGACAAATAATTATATGATCGCACAACTATCGTTACGATTATTTTGATTTGCAGACGTGGACGAGTGCAGAATGATGCCGTTCCTATGCAGAAACGGTCGGTGTAGAAACACTATGGGCGCGTTTAGCTGCGAGTGCACTTCCGGGTACACGCTATCATCGGATAACCAGCATTGCAGAGATATCGACGAATGCACGGAGGTAAGTGGTAACCGCAACCCTTATTGTGTACCCTTGAATTTGCGACAAACCGTATTGCGCGCCAACGACTTGTGTGATTATGTAAACCGTACCGGTGCGGTACGGGCGATTATAAACTCGGCCCGAGAAAAAAAAGTTTTCAAAAGGTCTATTGTAAACTCAGCCCATGTTTTTTGTAGGTAAAAATAATTTAGGTGTAAACTCGGCCCGGATAAAAATGTACATTTGTATAATTTTCTCATAATATTTTTGAGAACCATCTAGCATTACCCAGAGGACACCACGATAAGGCATTGTATATATTCCTTTTAATATATTGAATATCACCTACTTGTAGATCTTGCGCGTCAGGTACATTGTTTACTGCACTACAAACAATTTTGTTTTGCCTACTGCAGATATCTTCAGTTCCTTTGCGTTTGGCCACGGTGGTAACACATTGTCGTTGTGGTACTTATAATAGTCTCTTATAATAGATTCATGCAGATGATCATCATTTTTCTCCGTAATATCATTATTTATTCCAAACGTATTTAAAAAATCTCTACATTTGCAGTTTATAAATTGCCGTTTTATTTCAACTGTAAATATTATCGGGCTAAGATTACAACCGACCTTTTTTATTACTTGAAATTTCCGAGCCCAGTTTACAATCTACCTACTTTATTATCTAAAATTTTCGGGGCCGAATTTACAACAATAAAAGTAATTATGGCCCAGTTTACATTTGCCCACGCTTACCGTAGCGTTATTGTTACTGTAGGTACGGCCTTGTAGGGCTCAGCACTTCAGAAGGAGTCGGCGAAAAGTGTTTTCCCTTTTAAAAACTTATGGTTTAAATGTACGCGATATTTGTTCTAGATACCCGGTACTTGTCCGCTACCGGGAAGATGTCAAAACCTGATGGGATCGTTTTTGTGCACCTGTCCACCCGGATATCGATTGTCAGCCGCAAAGAACTCGTGTCTCGGTGAGTTTTCATGAATACATCTCCACGACGAGCAGTGCGTTATATCGTATCGTTCGCGGCTATTTCAATTGTTTTTCCCGTAGATATTAACGAGTGTCGAGAAATGCCCGGCATATGCGAAGGCGGAACTTGTACGAACACGGACGGTGGCGTGATATGTGACTGTCCCGAGGGTTTTGTCCTGAGCTCCACTGGAATGAAATGTATAGACACAAGACAAGACCATTGTTACGATTTATTTTTGTCCGGTTAGTGGTTTTCGTTGAACACGATGACTTGTCGAAGTTCGTTGATTTTATAATATGTTTATGCGTGTCGTGCACGTGTGCGCAGGTAACTGTTTGGCCCCGAGGAAACAGAGGATTACGGAAAAAGAATGCTGTTGTTCGTCGGGAGGGGGTTGGGGCAAAGAATGTACGGCCTGCCCGAAGCCCGGGAGCGGTAAGAACACGCTTCAAAATTATGATTAAAAAATCGGTTTGCAATGAGGTAATGAGTGTATTTTTGCGACAGACGCGTTCGCGAGATTGTGCCCGGAAGGCGTGGGTCGCGGCGATAAAGGCGAAGACCTGAACGAGTGCGATTTCATGACGAACCCGTGCGACGGCGGCGAGTGCATAAACACGGACGGGTCGTATCGGTGTGAATGTCCTGCAGGCTACGTTCTGGATTCGACCGGGAAGAAATGCGTGGACGAGAACGAGTGCAAGATCAACGTCAACATATGCGGGAACGGGACGTGCGCCAATCTGCAAGGCGGTTTCGAGTGCATCTGCGCGGACGGATTCGCCCCGGGGCCAACCCAAGTAATATTAATAATTATATTATATTGCCGTCACCATGCGGTCGTTTGACGTTGGATGAAACTGTCGAACGGTCTGCTATAATAACTCGTGCATACTTTTCATCTATTTGACGACAAATTTTTGTTTCCGACCCAGGTCTGCGAGGACGTTAACGAGTGTCTTGAGATGTCTAATCAGTGCGCGTTCCGTTGTCACAACGTGCCTGGATCGTTCAGGTGCATATGTCCGTACGGATACGCTTTGGCTCCTGATGGTAGACACTGTCAAGGTGCGTAACACGGGTCGACGTTAGCATTTCAGTAATATTCATAACGAATAAGCGATACGTTTTCTCACGTCTACCGTTTTTTTTTTTTTTCGCGGTTCACGATGGAAACGATAGATACAACGAAACGCAGAACGAGTTTAATATTATTGTCTTCGTGTTGCAGACGTGGACGAGTGCGTAACGCCCGCCAACAATTGCAAGTTCGAGTGCAAAAACCTGATCGGTTCTTTTGCGTGCATTTGTCCCGAAGGATACGCTCAGATCGGCAGCGACGAGTGCAGGGACATCAACGAGTGCGCGGAAAATCCGAATATATGCCAAAACGGATTTTGCGTCAACTTGTCCGGCACGTATAAATGTGACTGTTACGACGGGTTCAAAGCCAGCTACGATGGCCGACAGTGCATAGGTAATGGATTTCTATGATAATATCTGGGACTTAAGTGGGGAGAGGCAGCAGGACTCGGTCCCTGTACTTGACCCGATTATGCTGATCATAATAACTATTGAATGTTTATTTTTCTCTAATAGTAAATCTAATAACGTACTCGAGTGGTTCGTGAAATTTTTTCAACAGAAGTAGAATTTATTACTTTATTTGCATTTCATCTCCTTTATACGTCTTACAAATATTTTGGAAATGTTAAGCAACTGTTTAAATTCGAAAATTCCGTGACTATTACAAAAATTATAAAAATTCAAATGTATTTTCTTAGATTTTATTCTATCGTTAAACATTTATCGTCGGAACGTGACAATACTATTTTTGAATACATGTTTAATTTAACTTTATCCTAACGAAACTTGTACTTTAATCTATTCAAATTGTTGTAGTCTTCGTGCGTTCTCTCCACGTACTTTTAGTTCCACAATAACGTTTGGATGTTGTGCATTATAAGATTCTAGGGTCGGACTCTGCTACAGACATTTGCTGAACGGCAGGTGTATCAATAACCACGGTAGTGGTGGTGACACGACCAGCGTAACAGCTTATAGAGCCGTGACGAAAGCCGACTGTTGTTGTTCTATGGCCGCGGCCTGGGGACCTCAGTGTCAACCGTGTCCGTCGCCGTCTTCGGACTCATTCAGACAGCTTTGTTTGGAATCTGGTTACACGATCGACGGTCAAGGTTAGTGCGGTAGTCGTTTAGTGCCGTAATCCGATTAACGTATTGTTAAAGTTACAACTTGTAGTTATTTTAACAATATAAATTAGTCGATTTTATATTGTTTTATAATTTTATTGCCGATATTTTAACTGTAGATTTATTGAATTAAATTTATTCCGTGTTAGAGCACTAATTTTTTCGGAACCAGTTAATTTACTAATTAAATAATTAGTTAATTAGATAAATTATAAGTCAGTAACATTAATGTGATGGCGCTATGTTTAATATACCGTTGTCCCATCACTTTTATTCGATTAGTATTTCTATACGTATTGATTAAAAAAAAAAAAAAAAACGTAGTTTTCATAAATTTAGATTTATGAACAATATTGCGTTTGATAAACGTTCAATCGAATTTCGTTAGGGTTTTACTTAGGATTTATTTGAATTCCGTCAAACTTGCTTGTATCCGTTATGCAGTGGTGGGCAATAGTATACGGCATGAAATAAAACTATCGAAAATCTATTTTATACCCGAAGGAACCTTGCAGATGGATGATAAAAGTAAAAATAATATCCAACTCCAATCCCTGTAAGCGTTTTTCACTCCGGTGTACGTGTGCTTACGTGGTTATTGATTTTCAGACATAAATGAATGCGAGACGTTACCGGACCTGTGCACCAACGGGAGGTGCATAAACACGCTAGGGTCATACAGGTGCAGTTGCAACAAGGCGTACAAAATCGATCGCACCGGAACGCATTGCAACGGTAAGTGAGCGAATCGCGATCGAGAAGCCCGGTGGCCCTATGACGAATTACAGGTCAACCGTAAGCGATCGCATTCCTACGACGTTCTCTGCGCGGACAGAACGATGCGGTCATCGCGAGAAATGTTTACGAGACCTTCGGTACATTTTCTACGAATATCGCGTGGTCGTAACTCGGCATTGTTAACATCGCATCATCATCGTCAAAGACCAGTAGCTGTAGTAGTAGTGGGCGTTGAAAAAATTCGGTTGTTCGGATAAAAATCCTGTCGAGGAAGCCGCGTTCCTCGTCCTCGGGGTAGATTAACTTGCTCGGTGCGTGTTAACATTATTACAGTAATGACGAAGACGATGATATCATTGCAGCGATAATGATGGCCGTAACATGAACGCGTACGCTGCTGCAGAGCCGAGTCATTGTTTTTAATCGTGCATAATTATACGCTACGTGCATCGGTGGCGCGTTTATCGAAGGGATACGGTGGGGGGGGATAGATTTTTAAACTGTAATAATACTTTTGTTCTTAATTACAGTATGAAATTCCACAGAGTACCACAGAATTAAATATTTTGTCTTTATTTCGTTAACCTTGATTGAACTAAGTTATAACTTAAAAATATATATATGTGTGCATTATAAGTACATCTGTAGTAAATAGACTCCTCCGCCTTCAAAAATAAAACCCCTTAATACACCATCATCACGCATACATATAACATATACTTACTGTGTGTACATACCTATTATATGTACCAGAGGCAGAAACAGAACCGAAAGAGCCAGATCTGAAATAGGGACCATTTAAATTGTAAGAACCGACATTTTTATATTGATAGGTTAAGCTGTAAAGCCGAATCGGAATATTTAAATTATAAAGGTTCTTTTAGGTTCCAAAAAGAGAAAAAAAAAATGGTTTTATTTAGTATAACTTATTAGTTGCGTCTACGTTGTTTATAAATAATCACGGATCAATTCTCTTAATATTTATACCCAGAACCATACAAAATTCACATTCCGAATAGGTACCTATTTGAAATTATTAAATTTTTAAGTGTTTAATACGTGTATATTTATAGCTCCGTCAGTTGAAAATAATATCTTAGTGACTGTAATTTTCGACTTAATAATATTAACACTGTGTTTTGTATATTTCGTTGTTTGGTGGTAATATATTGTAAAATCATTTTTTGTTTACTAAAATAATGTCATTATTATAGTACACTTTAACGGGTAGATGATGACATATTATAGTCAAGGACAGGTCCAGCGTTTATTTACGTACGGGCCACTTTATGGGAAAAACGATAAAATATAGCTGATCATAGACGCGTGTAGCGATGTCTTAGGGGGAGGAAGAGGCTTAGACCCTTCTCAAAAATAATGTGACAATATTGTACTAAAACTGTCAACATTTATTTTTCTTATCTATTATTTAGTTCTTCTAAATATACTTCTTTTCCGATATTATTTTTTTCCGACAAGGGTGGCACTTTTTTCTAGTCCCCCCCCCCCCGGGTTCCACCTTGATTATGGTATATTCACAAGACAAGTAATAATATTATATTTCACTGGGACCAGGAACCGGTATCGAAACTATCTGAAACCGGTACGTTTATTATTTTTTTTTACCAGAGTAAAAATACATTTTTATTTTCCACAAACTGATAACGACGAATTCGAACGGTTCCAGTCCCCGCTTTGTACACTATTGTAACACATAATCAGTTACTTGGTGCGCGGTTTACTGTGATTGTTTTCTCGTCCAGACGTCAACGAATGCCTGACCAACCCGCCGCCGTGCGAGATGTCCTGTCAAAATCTGGAGGGCGGCTTTGCGTGCGGATGTCCCCCCGGGTTCCTGTTGAACGCCGACAACAGCACTTGCCGGGACCTGGATGAATGTTCCACCGGTCAACACATCTGTCAGCAGCTGTGCATCAACACGCACGGGTCGTACAAGTGCGGATGCCAACCGGGTTACCGTCAATCCGGCGACCACTGTTTAGGTATTACGACAAATGTCATATTTATTGCACTGCCCCATACTTACGCGTAGTTCTGTCTTGTTGCACTATTATTATTCTATTGTTGAAAATTGCTTAATTTAAGGCCGAAGAGTCGGGCGTTCTGCAGGTAAATATCCCTATTGGTGACCAATAATTGTATTCGATTACATTTATACGTTCTCTTATATATATAATTCACACTTCGCTTGCATGAACTCGAGGTATTGGACAAAAAGGGTGAATTTATTACGGACGAAATAATATTGTTTTGTGATTTTTCTTCTTCGTCGTTGACAAAATAGAAATCGTAGAACTAGAAGACCGTACGTTCCGGTCCTTATTTGCGTTATTTCATCTAACGACGTTTTTCCTGTCACAACTCACTCGTCTATGAATCGTACCAAAAATACATTTTTAAAATGTTCGATTTCATTATTCCTCCTTTTACGTTCGAGTAAATATAATAATAATAAAAAAAAATGAAATTGTTTTTTGAGTATCCGACAATCTCTTACGTTATCAAATATTTGTGTGCGTAGTTTTTACTTGAAAACTTAAGTGTCGTATCCGGCATCCTTGAAGAATCCTTCGATTCTTCGTCCCTGAATTATTGTTTGTACAGTCTGACGGAATGCTAACAATATTGAGTGACAAATTTTGTTTCTTCCCGGAAAATATTACATTTTTTTTATTATTTTTTTTTTTATTTACAAAGTTTTCCTGACAAAATAAAAATGAAAATAAAAAATAAGTGAAAATAACTGCTGTGCTTTTAGTCGGATTGAGAATGATTTTCCATTTTTGCGCCCATTTTTGTATTTCGTCAAAATGAGATTGGATGTTTACTATTACATTTTCGATTTTATCGGAACTAGAATAAATGACACTATCGTCCGCATACAGGGCAATTTCCGTATTCGTCGATGTAGGGAAATCTCATATGTAAAGGTTAAAAAGTATTGGAGATATTTTTGAGCCTTGTGGTATACCTGCATTCATTTGTTTGACGTCCGTACCATCAATTTATTTGAACGGTGAAACTACGAGAGTGGAGAAAAGATTTGATGTGTTGAAGATAACAGTGGGTGTGTTAAAATATTAAATACATTGTGCCGTCATCTGACGAACAATTTTTACAACACGAGTAGTCCAAGCCGTCCGATAGATAGCGCAAAATATTATAATCCCGTCCGTTTGTAGAAAAAAAATTGATAATGAATGTTATAAAATCTATTTTCTACCACTAACAAGGGTGCCCATATGGGGGGGGGGGGGGTAAGGGAGAGACATGTCTCCCCCCTGGAAAATGTCAAAAATCTTGGAATAATATTTAATATGATCAGAAAATATTTATTTAAATAGAATTTAAAAATTTAATTTAATACATAAAAATCTATAATTTGTTTATGAAAAATCCATTTATTTAGTTTGGAAAATCAGATCATCAGCTATAAATAACAATACGCTTTTTCGTTTCTATTCTATCGATAATTATCAATTCTTAAAATATTGTGTATTTCCAGAAATACGGTATGTACTCGTATATGTGTGTGTGTACACAACCATAATATTTATATAATATTTTTAAATTAATATTTTAATAAATATAACTTATGTTTTGAGTGTCCAATTTATATTATTAATTAAATAAAAATTTCAATAAATTACTTTTATGGTAAATTGGTTAAATAATTATAATTTTATAGTCTTCCAGTTTGATATATATAATGTAATAGTATAATGTAAAACTGTAAACCCCTTCCTATATCGTGGGTCATTCCTATTTATGAATAGATTGATAAATTAAAATGTTGTCCTCCCCCTTGAGAATTTTCCTATGGGCGCCCTTAACTACTAAGTATATTTTACTATGATTGTTACCTGCACCAAAAATGTTAATACATAATGAACAACAACACAAATTTCTCCGTGCCTACGTTTTGTGTTATTTGAGTTGAAAATGGTGATCGGAGTTACGATATTTTTAGCAAAACGTTTTCATTTAAAAGTTACACTGTACGAGGAGTAGGTGCATGGTTTGTAGCGGGTACAGTCCTTTTCGATGAACACACGTTAATGTTTTTAACATTGGTCATAAACTAGTTCACCCCGAATGATTCGAATGCGAACGGGGTGGGTCAACGTACTTTTATATCTACAGTAGTCGAAGCATTTTACATCGATCGCGGTCCCCAAGTACAAACTGGACCTCGAACTTCGCCACCGAAGTGTGTTTCGATTTTTTTGACGTAAAAAAAAAAAAAAAAAAAAAAGTAATAATCATAACATACTCGTTTTACTCCGCATAAGTTTTTCATTCCAATATGAACGTTGCAATATGTGTAGTTACCCGAGAGTCACCTTGTTCTTAGATCGTTTAATGTAACCGTCCGTTGATTTTCTCGTGGTTTACAGACATCGACGAGTGTCGGTTGGACCCGAACGTGTGTCACGCACCGAGTAGTTGCGTCAACACGTTGGGAAGTTTCCGGTGCGCGTGCCCAAGGCACTACAAACTCGATAGCACAGGTACGCGTTGCGTGGACCCCAAGCAACAGTCCAAAAACCACCAGTTCGATTGCATCGGTCCCGATTGCGACAACATCAACAACAACAACAACAACAACAACAACAACGGGTGTCATGACCGTCAGGTAAACGTAAAACGGGCGCGAGAAGGAGGCGTCGGGACGGTTTGTGTGAATCGTGTGCACGCGTGCGCCCTTTGTAAAAACTCGGTTCGATTTCAGTTTTTTAATCGGATGTACTAATGAATCCGGCAAACGAATACAGTTTTCGGCTGTGAGAATTTGTCGGTTCGAAAAACATCCGTTAGCTCGGACAACCCCGCGAACGTACCTATCCAACGGAGGCTAAAATATTAATGTTTTCGTACACTAAGCTTTGCCGGCGGGTGGCAAAGCTGATAGTGTGTTGGACGGTAAAGTCAAAATTGTATCCGTACGGTACCATTGTTGGTTTGAAGTGTGGATCACGACCGTTTTTAGTGCCATAAAAATTACGGTAATATTAAGATAGGCGAGCATTTATTTCATACTCATAGGAAATATCGAAATGTATTCATATTTATATTATCGTACATCTACTTTTCTTTGACGGTCTGTATAATCAAAATTCAAAATAATTTGGTTAAAATTGATTAAATCAGTGGTTCTCAAACTGTGATCCTAGGAGCTCTAGGGCTCCACGAAAGAAGTTTAGGGGCATATCTAAATTAATTAAATTTAAATATTATATTTCTAAATTATCAAGTAAAAACACTAGTATGATTACGATTTTAATTATACCTTCTCATCCAGTCAGAGTGTTTTAGATTAATTTGGAGAGTACTAGGTTTTTAAGTCTCAGAGCACTCTTTCTGGTCAAATTAAATCAATCCTTTTGCAATTCAAATACATTCCACTTTTACTCAGAATTTGAAAATGTTAAATAGAAAAGTGATTGAACACACACAATAATTTTATAACACATTGTGTATAATATACATTGTATATAATATATTAATTTTAAATTCATTCTGAAAGACTAAAAAATGATTTTATTAAGATTTAATGTAAAACGTTTTGAAGAAAACAAACTCATAATTTTCAAATAATTCCTATTATGCCTCCCTCCCTATTTTCAAAAAGATTTAATATTAAAATTAATTTAAGTATCATTGTTGATGTATTCTTTCTATATTTTTTCCCTTAAATCTGAAGTAAATCTAGTTTTGTCAAAAAAGCCAATATTACTTTTCAACTATAGTAATACTTTATGATAAAATTCCTAGTTATTTTTTAACTTCGTTTTAGAATTAAATCATACAAAATCTTTAAAAATTATCCTATATTCAAGCAATAAATTAAATTATAGATTGTTTATTACTGTTTTTCTTATTACATTTTTTTTTTTTTTTTTTTTAATCATAAATCATTAACAAACATATCTCAAACAATTTACTTTTTTAAATATTTCTTATATTTATTTAAAATTAACTTAAAATAACTATTAAAAAAAACAATTTTAGATTTTCACATATATAATTAAATGTGGATTTATATGAATTCTTCCAGGATTTGAAATTTTTTGAATTAAATCATTATGTATTTCCCAACATCTGTCTGATCGTTTTACATACGCGATATAAGGGATTCATATCCAACTATTCCTCAAAGAATATACCTACAATGAACAAATAAAACATTTAATGTAATTGTATGTGAATAAGCTGAACATTGATGTTTTAATAATTTAATTTATTTTATAAATTCTTAACTGGTAGGGGGGAGAGGGGCTAAGCCCTTGATAACGTATGCTTATGCAGGCGTTACACGACCGTCTGCCGGTTTAACGTCACGTCGGTTGTTGCAGAACGGGCAAAACGGTACTTCGGGCACCGGCAACTGCGGCTGTCCCAAGGGTTTCCGGAAGTTGGGCAACCGCGGCGAATGCGTGGACGTCAACGAGTGCCTGGAATCGCCGTGCGACCCCAACCTGAACTGCATCAACACGCCCGGCGGCTACCAATGCGTGTGCTCCAACGGACAGATCTACGATCCCGCGGCGTTGGGTTGCGGTGCTGGTGACGGCAGACCGGGTTCGACCGCGTCACGGGTACGTACGGACGTAACACCGTCCAGTCGGCGAGGAGATCGGAATTCAATTGTTAACGCGATTGCGATCTATGAAACTTTAGCTTATACACATACGCATAATAGGATAAAAGTAGTTTATAGGTTGTTTTTTTTTCTGTAATATTACCGATTTTATCGAGAAAATTGTTAAAAAAAAAAAATCAATACATATACTTCACGAAGCGCAATAATGTTGCGTAGTTTGCAAATAAAAATGTAAAACTGGCATAATCGTGTTGAGTTTTCTCCCGTAAGAAAATGTAAACGGGTAAAATTGCGATTAAATCGATAGCTAATAAGTTGAGACATTTTACAGTGGTATATTAAGACAATAGGTTCAACAAATCTAGAAGATAATAGTATACTCCACGACGTCAAAATGTTCATTTTATAATTTCGAACCTATCACTTTTGATCGATTTCTTATTCCGTTCAAAATACTTCTTGCAGACGATACACAACTACACGCAGGCGTAAATCGTAATAAGTCTTATAGATCGAACACGTTTGAAATGTACATATTTAATATACAAAACAGTAGTCGAATGTTACACGTCGGTTAAATTATAGGTATTATAAGATAATAAAAGTTTGACTGGGTTTTAGTTGAAACCCACCATCGAGTACTCGGTATACTAAGACGACCATCGCTTATCACCTTAAAAAACACATGCAATTATGATTATATTTTTCACGAGAACCCAATGCTTGAAATTTCATTTATATTTTTCGTTGGGTTTCACAGCACGGAGGCGGTGGCGGAGACGTCAGCGGCAGAGGATGTTATGGCAGTCCGTGCGCGTTCGGTTGCACTCCACTCGGACACAGTGGATTCTCATGCGGATGTCCGGCGGGCTACCAGAGGATCGGACAGGTAAACACCTAGGTTCACCATAGTGACACATTTGCGACACAATCCCGTCGAAATAACATTTCCAAGATGAATCGCTAGCAACAAGTGCTGCTAGAAGCCGGTCCACACCGGTTACGTTTTTTTTCAAGCGCGATCGAAAAAATTTAATAACTCAAAGGGTGTGTCCACCCATACCTAGGGTATTTTTTTCTTTTCATCATTGATACTTTTTGAAAACGATGTCCGCGCACCACTACGATAACATTCCAGTGCAAGTGTATTAATTATTGATTATCCGTTACGCAGGGTCACTGCCTGTCCACGATAAGTCCGATCACCAACGGTCCGAACGTGCACTCACCGCCGGATCTCGGCGACATACCAACGTTCGCTATCGAACCGGAGCTGTACCCCAAGGGCGCGGGCGGCAAGATCATATCGACCGAAGGATGTTTCTCGTGCAAGGTACGTGTACGCTCTACCGCGGGAACGCTTGCGCGCTTTTGGGTCTGACTAGCTTAACCGAACCAATTCTCACCGGTACCGTGTGTCATTATTTCACTCGCAGATAAACGGCGACGGCAGGTTCCGGCACAGGAGGACAGCGAACGTTTCATCGGAAGTCATGGGGTTCAATGACGACTTTGACGGACGGTGGCAAGACAATCCAACGCATCGCCGAACGGTAACGGCAACCACGCGGCAACAGGCCCACGATTAACGATGGGTGGGGGTCAACCGAATATCGTTGTATCCTCGTAAAAACAAAAAGGACTAAACTGCGAAAAAAAAAACATTTCGGTTCTTAGAACGATACCATTCGGTCACATTTTTATTTGACCATTACTGGGAAACCGCACGAACCGGTGGTAGAAATCGACGATTTCACCTGTATTTTTTTCCGTGTACTTCGAAAGTCATATTATTAGTAATAATTTTTCAAAATGCACGGTGATTACAAACCCTTTACATGGAAAATTCCTATTCGACCCGTTTTTTTTCCTTGCGCGGGATCTAAAAATCATACAGTTCGACCATTTTTCACAAAAAGGTATCAGTAAGACAATTTTTCAACTAGAATGTCACTCGTACCACATAAACGTCAAGCAATTCACGTATCTTGTCCCGTTTTAACATTTTTTTTTTTTCATTCGTGACCAAAAATTTTCAAAATAAGTTATCTTTTGAAATAAATCCAATAGAAATACATGTCGAAAACCTATAACCTTTATTCGTAAACTGTATCGTAATAACACTAAAATGCATAGACTTAATCGATTATTGGTATGTTTTTCGTGTGATTTCGTAGGCGAAACACAAGCACAGACACCGGCGGGAAGATGGAGCGTACAAAACGATCAGAATGAAGATTTCGGACGCCGTACGGAACACTCGCATTTTGAAACTGTTGCCGGCAGTTAAGGTAAATCGTCATCGGTTGACAAAAATTCACGGTTTATGTGTGGTAAATCACCTAGGCTAACCTATTAGATGGAAAAATTGAGCCATTTTAAATATTTAAAAACTAAACCACTAAACTCAATGACGCGTCAACGCGATTAGTTGTTGATGCATTTTTTTTCCGATTATATTTTGCTTCACGTGCTCATTGACCAAACAACTTGTATGGAAATATAACACTCAAGTATTCGTCTACTGAAGATGAATCTTTTACTATTTCGTGTAACTACTATTTCATAAAATATTTATTTTAATTACATTTGTCAAGATTCTATTTAGAGAAATCAACAATTTGTTAAATATATTTACAATAAGATTGGTGGGTTGTATATAATAGGTGTCTAGGACGTGAATTGAAGACGCTAACCGTTGATAGTGCTTTGGCGCGTTTAATTTATGTATAATATAAGTTATATAAAAAAAAAAATTTTAAAAAATACTATAGTTACGGTTGGATGAAATTATTGGGCTATTGTCGTTTTAGCTTTCGGGGAGGATTTCCGGAATGTCATTGTTAGTAGAGACTTCAAAAAAGAAGGTCGGAGGAAAGTGAGAATGACATTTTTCAAAATGTTTTTTGACTATGTATTTGATAAAAGGGATTTTTAGGTCATTATGAATTATAAAATGTGATATGTGTACGGAGGAGCATTAGTAATGAGGAGGAGTACTTTTGATTTGAATATTTGAATTTTATTTGTATTGGATATAATATAGAAGTCTAAGATTTAGATACCTTAAGTACAAATAGGTTTTAGGAAATTATTGTGTACAAAAATTTTCGTTTTTATGTTGGTTTTTTTAACATAGTTTACGTTATAAAACCAATAATGATAGAACAACGTTCAGACTATTTTTATGTATTTGTGTTACTTATTTTGCTATGCAACGTGTGATAACGATAAAACGGTAATATCGTATTTGTACTGTCGACCAACTAACCAAATGGCAGAAAAAATATTTTATCATTATAAACGGTACACATTCAACTCTCCGTAACTTCTGGTTTTCAGGACAATTACAATTACTTTGTGGTTCCGTCGAGTGACGCGACCAACAAGTTCAAGATCAAACGCAACTCGAAAGGCATTTGGGGCTTGCACTTCCGCCGGAATGCCAGGAAACCGGGAAAGTATCACCTGGCCATCGATGGGCAGCGTACCGCGGTCGACGGACACACGGAGCGCCGGAAACCACCGATTTTGCACGTCAAACTGATCGTGTCCGGCAACTGAACCCCGGGCTCGTTTCTCCGCAAAAAAAAAAAAAAAACAAAAAAAAAAAAAAACGATTCGTTCGCGTCACGACCGACACGTGTTATAATATTATAATAATATTACGAATAGTTAACAGTTTTTCATAATCAATCGCATTTTTGTACAGTAAACGCAACATTATTATTTTAAACTCACGGTTTTCATTCGAAAATATATAATATCGCGAATCACGATACTATACGCTCCGTATCGTCAGCGACATGGAGTCTTATTGAACGTAATCTATAAAATAAATATGAAAACGGAATTTTTCTCGCTCCCGTATCCGATATTTGTGCAAGACGATTTTCACTTAGTCCTTAAGTCTGCTTTATCAGACGGTCGTGTAACATTATTATTAAAATGTAATACTCAAACATATAATATCATTATAATCGCGCGGCAATATAATCAAGTTTATACTTCGATTAGTCAACATTTATGTTTTCGTTGTAAAATATTACTCAGTGTTTTCCGTGTTATAAGTTTTAATAGAAATTTCCTTCTCGTATATTAATGTATCGTGATGTGTATACCACCAAATAGTGCGTAAGGATATTTATAGTTTAATATAATGTTATGTAAAAAAAAAAAATTAATATATATGTACGATAATTATTATAACTTAATAAAGTAATAAATATAATTTATTTTATACTTGGTCTTTTAATACACTGATATCCGAAACTTTTTATGTAATTCGACAATATTGTCAAGTATTATAATCATGACTGAACACAAAATTGTGTAGAACCGTATTTTTATCATGTTTTTAGAATTCCTATGGTTAAGCGAAGTAAAAGAATTACAAACTATACATTCATAATACGTTTTTGTAATTATCGTCGAGAATGCCAAATGTGAACATAAAACAAACTTAACCATTGAGTTCCCGGAGAGCACTTAACTTAAAACTTTTATCGTAAAAAATAATGATGATGATTTACCCGGTTTTTAATATCATATCAGATAATTTGTTTAAAAGCTTTTGACCATAAATCACGAGGAAAAAGGTTCACATCGGGCAACGATATTCAATTTATAAATGATAAATATTAACTTTTCGGTAACGATTTCCGGATCAGTCAACTTGACAAAAATTTACCACAATGGGAATTTTGAAAAAATCAGAATTTTAAAGAGTCGTTCGCAGCGTATTAGATCACTACTCAAACCTGTCGTAGTGGAACGAGATTTGTCAAAAAAAAAAAAAAAAAACAACGCTGGTTTATATTATATGTGTGTAAACGATAAGTGAATATAACCGAAGTGGCTTAACTCGGTACAACTAAGAATTTATGTAGCTCTAGACACCAAAAGTATATTATTGAATACTTAATATTATGATTTATTATTTTATACAACAATGAAAGCTTCAAAACGTCTTGCTGGATGTCATTCTCGTCGTATATTAATACAAATTACAAATTCATCGTCACACGGACATGTCTTGTATACAACCCAAGTACAGTGCACCGTTTCGTCCGATTCCCTTACAACGGTTTGGGTGCAACGTAAAATAATAATCGAGTTGAAAAATTTAAATTTTGTTAAAATGTTGACTATGATTCTGAACATGAGTAAATCAAAACAGCTAAATCGTTGTTGGGGAAACAGTGTATTTTACTCGTTTATTTTCGTTGAATGTGACAACTGGCATGATGTTTTAGCCCGACTCTCAGCGATAAAACGTGCACATGTCGAAATGGTAACTTACCTATCTCTAATGAACAATGGACAGCTTTTATCGATTGGTGAAAGGAGAAAAGAGCATTCTAGTGCTAAGTATGTCATCAATTTCTGTTCGTAAAATATATCACCTGTCCCGAGATTTATAAATTAAATATCTCATTAGTGTAAACGATCAGACGGACACTATCCGGTGCAATCAAATGCCTTGTCGGTTGTCCCGTAATATACGGAATGTCGCTTAGCCCTAAAATATCGCTTAGCTCCTTTTGCCTTTTGCCTGTTACATTTTACCGTAGTTAGTGCGTGAAACAAAGCCGTCGACCGTTTCGGACCCAAAAATACTGTAATACAAATACTGTAATACTGTTACCAACAGGACATGCATAGTTTGAAATAAGAAATATACGGACGCGTAGGGCTAACATTAGATCTAAATACTGTTAGATTGGTTTAACAGCTCAAATTATATTCCTGGCGCATAAAAATGAACGCAATTATAATTATAGTCATCTTATCTAGACGTAAAAGCACAATTAGCATTCCTTCTATGCTTATAGACTACCATACAAATGACTGGTCTCGATGTGCCAAATATTTCGACGTTACCATCGGGCACAGATATAACTTCGGACAACACACTTTCAATATTACCAGAAAAGCTACCTGAACCATGATATGCTTTACCCTATACTAAACAGAATTAGCCTCGTGACTATGACAACCAAACTTTACAGTATAAAACTTTACATTTTTCCAATCCTTACTTGCATCGGCTCTTCTTGGGTCACCTACTTCATTCCCTCTCACCAGTGAAAAATTGAACTTGTCTAAAATATCGTCATCCGAACAATTACGAGCATGTTCACTTTTGTCAGGTACTCTGACCTTTTAAAACCTACTGGTTTAAAGGCCATCAAAGATTCAATTCAATTGCAAATCAAAACTATGTTCTATAAAAGTTCTTTTCTTGATCATGGCCACATTCGACTCTTAGTAAAAATACACTCACCCTTCAATCCATCAAATTCATAACTAAAACCTACCCCTTAACCTGGACGAACAAATTTAGCCAAATAAATTAACCAACATAAACCACAATCGGTTACCAAATCCTTTCAAAATCTATCTACTAGTATGGGTGCAAGCGTGGTATATTAAACAGTCTAGTCCACTACCCCATAGCAAAGTAAAAAACTATGTAGCAGATTTCGCATGTTTGGATGATGATATGTATTAGACCGTAATGGAGTAACAAGAATTATGCACATTTAATATTTCGTATTCTTCGTAAATATTGATTCTGATTATTGAATGACCACTGGCCACAAACGTATATCCGAGAAGTTTTTAAAAATAACAATGTATCGGAACATTCCTAGAATATTATGATCTTATGAACTGCAATAATGGGAAGTGCATTGTCGCGCAACTTTAATAATAAATACTAAACTATAGGAAAAAGAAATCTCGGTAAAACCATAAATAAAAATAATTATACCACAATATTATCATTTTTACTTTACTGGTGCACTCGACCGTCGGAAAATGTTCGTATTCGTATACCTCCCAGTCATAAATGTTACTTGCACTTTTTTTTTATATATAGTTTTTCTGACATTTATATTGGATTTTTTAAAAAGCTCATTTCACTTTGTACACCTTAATGAAGATTTTCCTTATGTCAGGGTAAATTAATTGATTTTTATCGCCTAAAAAGTTGAAGAAAAACCATTTTATTTTATACAAAAAATAATGATATTTGTTCTTGATATTGCGTATACGAATGTAGATATTTTATATATAGCGAAAACATGAAAATGATATTTCATAATAAATTGCCGAGTAGATATATTTAAGGTTTTCACATTTTGTTACTTTTGTTTTAATTAACTATAAATAATACTATAAATGCTAATTCTTCCTTTTTATCATTTTTTTTCCTCGAGTTAAATTTTAAAATTCAAAAAGCCAAAAGTGTTTCAAACATAAAATTACAAAGATACAAATGAGAATTAAATTTTAACAACCAATATTGATCTATTTATTTCTATTGCTATTGCTATAAAATAACGGTCAGTGGCCTTATTCTGAAGTTCCTGATTTTCGTTTCTCTTTTCTCGTTTCAGGTTTTTCATGGATTTCGGATGGTTACTTAATTTTGAATTGAAAATAAATGGATTTCGTATAACGATCGGGGTCTTCAGAGTACAGTCTACTGGTATACCGTAACGTTCTCCTTTAATGCTGTTCGTGTTAGGGTTTCGAACCTTTTAAATTATGTTTATTTTTACGAGGTCTCGGAGACTCAACTTCGGTGTGTGATACTTATGCTACGGAATAGAGTTATCTCATATAAAATGTTCGAACTACGTATAACTATAATTTAGAATTTATTAAACATATACATATTGTAATATATTTACAATAGAACTAGGGTGTAGATGAAGTTCGTGGATGTGGTTGACGACGACAGGCCCTCCGATGTTGTCGAGGCACTCGTTTTGATGGGTCACACACCACTACTTACTGGTTGGTCGTCATCCTGACGTACGCCGAAAAACCTCAGTCGAAAATCGCACGTCGATTCCATTTGCCATTACTCACACTCAACATGTTAACCGTTCCCTACTCAAAGACTAATTTACAATGTCGAAGGATGACAATCGTTACAATACTTAATTTGTATGCGTAGGAATATTGATCTAAAAGCTGAGATATATTTTTTGCTCGAACATCCACGTTTGAGGTCGCGATTGTGATCATCTTTTTCGAGAGGAAAGCATTGTCTATCTCAATGGTTAGACCTCTTCATAAAGTTATTATAGAAAACCATTGAATAAGCACTAAAAAAAACGTCGATGAAAATACGAAAAATTACAATATTTTCATGGTGATAATGGTTAGGTTAGGTTATAATAATAATATGTGTTCCATCGTATTGAGTTCAGGAGAAGGAGAAATCTACGTGTACGCCTGAAGTGTAGTTCACTTCACAATTTTATTTAAATCTGTCAATATTCTTACACACGAGTATTAACTATAATTTCTATTATACTAGTCTCCGACTCGGGTAAAAACACGGGTAGTCGAAACTTTTAGTTTAAACTCGCCGGGAAAAGAAATTAAACGCGTACAAATTGTAATTAAAAACTTAGCGCTGCAGTTGACGAGAATTACGACCACGAATTGTGGATATGTGCATACTCGGAGTACATAGGACCGTATTCTTCGTAACAATTATATTGTAACGGAGAAGAAGAAGACTTCACGCGAAATAAAAATTATAAAAATCTTGGTAGAATGTCGTTGCGAAAAGATCGTATCCGACGGAAATCGGTGT